GAATATGAGAAAAACCTTTTCAAAAGGTTATTAAGAAGCTAGAATTGTAAAAAACAGGAATTAAGAAAACAGAAGATAACGATTGACATTTCACTTAAATTTTTTATTATCATTGTTGACTGGGAAGCAAGAAGCCGGAAGAGAGTTCCACAAGAAGAAACTGTTAGCGTAGAACTTACGGTTACATCTAGCCATTTCAATTGTAAAATGATGAGACCTTAAAGACCTAATTTTGAAGCTAATGCATCATACACGAGATATGAAATTCGCATACATTCTGTTGGCCCTGGTTACGCCGTTGACCAAACTATATATCCATTTACTGCAGTCGAATTAGCTTCAAAATTAACGTCTTCAAAAGTCGTATGATAAGCTAGTATATACGGTAAACCACTCTACTCTGTTTGATTTTTAAACATTTGATTCGCAGTTCTCATCTTAGGCTTTTCCATTTGGTGACAACCCTTACACATTCGGTCTTTTCTAAAACTGATGGTTGGTCTTTTCTTTTCGATTTACTTTCCTACTTGTCTTGAAGGTCCTATAGTTTTCCTTCTGTATCCGCCATCAACACAGCCTCCTTTCTGAATTATACATCAAAGTTGTGCCCACCGATAATAAATCTAGTACATATGCCATTCCCCTTATATGTTGAATAAATCTAATTAGAAACAGATACTCATCTAATACTGTTTTCTATTTTTGTGTATCTACTCAGTGCATTTTCTATCATGCTAACTTACCGCGTTATAATTTTTAATACAGCAAGCAAGGCAATAAAGCCAGTAAGGCAGAAATGTTTACTGAGTGTGAAAGAATATAAGAAAAATTAAAAAGCCGGAATTAAAGAAGCTAGAAAATAACGATTGACACTGCATTTACATCTTTGAAGCTCAATGTTGACTGGAAAGCAAGAGGCCGGAAGAGATTTCCACGAGCGAGAGAAGATACTGTTAGCATAGAACTTATGGTTGCATCTAACCATATCAGCTGTAAAATAGCTCGGACTTGTTTCCAATCTAGTACTGTGCTTAAATTCTTAAAGTCTAGGCACCATAATTGGAAAGTTCATCAGAACAATTAACATGAACGTCTTTACAGAAAAGGAACAGGGAAGAAACATTACGGTGGTGGGAAAATGAGTGAAGACGAGATACCAGGTCAAAACCAATAATATTGCAGATTCTTCTTTGGATTTTATCAAGAATTTCTAAACATATATCAGGAGCACCGGACAATATATGACAACAATGTTCAAAGAATGGACGAATGATAGAATTATAAATATGTAAGATAGATTATGGCAAGAAAAATCGTATTGTACAATACAAGGAAACAACTTTCTTCGCAGCTGACCTAGCAATGAATTCAATGTAATAGTTCCACTTCAACCGAGAATGCTAGCCGAAGAAGACACAACGATTCACTCACCTGGAATTTAGAATCAGCCATGCTGGGAGAAAGCAGAGATAATTTTTTGAGGCGTTAAAATTTAAAAAAAAAGAAGCTATTCCTTGCCCCAGTTAACAGCAGATTGTAGGTCATTTTTGTGATGCCAACAAATACTCGTTGTCAATTTCGTAATGCTCGTTGTAGTAGAGACTTTGTAATCGCAGATACAACTATAGTAACGCCGTTGAACAATACTGGTGTCAGAGGCCTTCGAATATCAATCGCACTAATAGTACTTGCTCGATAATATTCGCTCGAATAGTAATCCGTATAGTGATTCGAATAGAGAAATAGTATAGTGAATACAGTAGAAAATAACGGTCTGTATAGTAAAAGAGGATAGAGCAGAAATAGTGATCGTTAGTCGTCAGCTACTTCCTACATGGTCACGTGGTCTACTTAATTCAATAATGGGATCGCCTGTGTTTGTTCACTGGCAGCGACATTTTATTCCTATATAACTATCTTTTTTTTTTTTTTACATCAGCTGCCAAATTGACCATATCGCACCGATCAGACAGGAGAAATGTGTCTGCCATCAGCATAGGAGGGTCATCAATGAAAATTATAAACAGCATATATTCTTAATTTTAGCATGGGGAATATCTGAATTAGTTCAGAAAGATCTAGAAGAGTGGTCGTTCAAAACAACATTCATTCCACGATTTGATAAGAAACACTGAATCAGTTCAAAAATTCGTCCAGAAATACTATAAGCTTTCAATTTTCGAAGATAACCTGTATGCCATAACCTATTTAATGCCTTCTAGATGCTCAAAGGAAAAGCCCCAACTTATCTTGATATATGATGTTGTCATATTTGGGCGGGAACTGTCCAGACCTCACTCTCCAGGCTTGATACAGTTCAAAAGCATCTCCGAGCACTTGTGGGTGACGAATTATTTTCTACCCTTCAACCTCCACCCTCCCACCATAAACTTGTTGCTCAACCACTATTTCCACGGGAAATGATGGGACGAACTACATTCCTTGGTTCAGCTAAGTTAAATTTTTACGGCAAGAACACGCCATGCCACTTACATTGTAGAAACCCAACACTATTCCCTCCGTATTCCATTAGTGAGAAGTAAGTTCCACTTGAGCAGCTTCTTCCCGCGAACTACTGCCCTGTGGAACCGACTCTCAACCGGATGTTTCCCCGATCACTACAATCATATCCTGTTCAAGGCTAGGATTAACTGCTATCTTCCACTCTTATATGCATAAATGGCATCCTAACGTAAACTTTACCTCGACTGTCCCTTGGGCCTTGTAAATGTCCAACATTACTGATAAAAAAACAAAGAAAAAAATCCTTCAGCAATAATTATTAACGCATCAGCAATTGATTGAGAGAAGCGAAAGACACATTGCGTATCTGAAAGAAAACCCTGCAATGTCAGATGCTTAATCAATTCAGAGTTGGTTGGCTGAGTTCTTAAAGCCAGGAACAACAAAAGAGGATTTCCAACAAGCAGGAAATCCAGAAGCAGTAAGGGATTTATTGTAGTTTAGAGAGAACAGGATCCATTTTAAGAGTACAGTTCCTATAATACTGTGAGGTTATCAAGTCCATATGCTTTATGCAATCCTAGTTTAGAGATGATAGCAGAAGCCATGGGCAGAGTCATGTGCATATTAATCAAAATCGGAAAACAAAGGTTTAGCCCCCTGAAGAAACGTTTACAGTTATTAAATATAGATTCTACAAAGACAAATTCCTTGGTTAAACCCACTTGGAAAATGACTTAAACGGAATGAAATACAAAATCACTCAGGACAAGGGAATACTCCTCAGGGCGGGAAATATTTTCTTCGACAGGAAGAAATGACAAAATTTTGTGATTGCGCAGAGATGTACAATCATGAAATGTTATATATATATATATATATATGTACAATTAATGAAATGTGATATATATATATATATATATATATATATATATATATATATATATATATATATATATATATATAATGGACAGAAGCAAAATCTAATTAGTCGACGTGTTTCGTCCTCTGAGATTTATCAAGACAATAACGAAACGCGTCGGTTAAGTATAGTTTTTTCGTCTTGACTATTTTATTCATTTTGTCACTTCTACAGATACACTCCTGAGAATATATATATATATATATATATATATATATATATATATATATATATATATATATATATATATATATATAGAGAGAGAGAGATTGGAGAACTTTATAAGTTGTTTCTATAAAAAATAACGTATAAACAGAAAATATATGGAAATAATTATCGGACTTAATCCATTTCATTATAGGTTGTCATTGTTTACGTTAAGATACGTTTAGTGAGCAGATCGAGAAAAATCGCTGGAGTTTGTGTTTACAAACATTAATTTGGACTTTTCTAAGCAGTCCCTTCTCTATAGCTAAGCCGGATAGCACGTCAGATCAAATGACGGTTCCCTGTAGGACACAGGTTCAATTCCTATTAGGGTAAGGCATATTTTCAATGAAATTTCTCAAACATTCAGGCCGGTAAATGTATTTAATACTGCTTAATAAAAACAAAAACACACAAAAAAACAAACAAAAAACAGAGCATTTACTTAAATCAACTGTATTTATTAAAATAACGTATAAACAGAAAATAGAGTCTGTCTATATTTCTGAGATGAGGTATTATGTACATTATTTACATTATTCGGACTATTGTCCTCATCTTTGTTGCCATATTTATCAAGGACACATGGCACAGTGGATAAAGGCGTTGGTTAGTAACAAGACCCAAAGAGTGTGAGTTCAATTAAGGCAGTGGAGAACTTTCAGGGGGAAATTAACAGGAGATAACTGATAAATGACATCCATCAAACATGGCACGTGGAACTAGAACAGTCTACCCCAGTCAGCGAAATAAAGGGTTCAGTTCGACATTCCAACCACCTGAAGAAGGCCGGAGCGTACAACGGCCGAAACGTTGTGATAAATATGGCGACAAAGATGAGGACAATAGTCCGAATAATGTAAATAAACAGAAAATATATGAAATAATCATCGGACTTGTATGTATGTATGTATGTATGTATATCCAGCAAATGTATAGGGAATATTAAGAAGCATATTTGCATCATTGTGGATATTGTTCTGCGGGCATTATATATAAATACTGCTTTCTACCATTCTCCAATAACTGTCTGTTTTACACCGGTTCTCGTACGATTATCGAAGTCAAGCAGCGGCTACTCTGGTTAGTACTGAGAAAGGTGACCGGTTAGGAATACCATTTGCTGTAAGCTTGGATGCGCGGACAGTGTAATGGATAAAGTCTCGAAATCAAAGAACGGAGTTCCAATTCCAGCCGGGTTCGTTATATTCACTTATGCGCAAATACTCTTAGGAAAGGCATGAATCCACTTCTCCCTCCCCGCAGATAATGGTTAATTAGTAGAACGCCTATTAGAAAATAAATCTAAAAATATTATCTTGATTAGAATATAAATGTTAAACTGATTTCGACATGTAACAAGAACATAATGACATATTTGTGTACAGATTCTATAAAGATAAATTACTTGCGGCCCTATCACGCTGAAACACCGGTTTCCGTACGATCACCGAAGGTAAGCAATGTCGAGTCTGGTCAGTACTGAGAAGGTTGAACTTTTGGAAATATCAGGTGTTGCAAGCTTTGATGTGTGGGTGGTGTAATTGTGAACGGCTCGGAATTTTTAATCAGAGTGCCGTGTTCCAGTTCACGTTATATTAATTTACGGGCAAATATCTTGGGAAAGGTATGAATACACCTATACTCCTCCCAGGTATATGTTAATTAGTTAGAACTGTCTAACTAAATCATTATTATCTCAAAATAATTTTTAGAATCTAAAATATTTTCTAGCTTTAAAAAACCTAAAAAAAGGTTGATAAACATTAAAACATGTATGAATCAATCAATAAAACAGAAAAAAAAATCCCAGTTTAAAAAGCACATAATAGACAACATATGAGACAGGAAACCCCGATCGGGGAGTATAGCGTAATTCCACTACTGACACGTGAAAGGAATATTTTGGACGGGAAGAAGTAACAAACGTACGTTGGCAAGGGATCACGTAGGGAGCATGCAATGAACGAACATATACAAACGTAAATTATTGACACCGATCTTTTTTTTTTTTTATCCGAGTACAATTTTAAAAGGAAATATTTAATATTTGCTTGTCTTTCTCTCAATGAATATAGAACCTCGATTTTTTACCTTTTATGGTTATAAGAAACATTTCACTTATGATCTAAATATCTACTTAGCCTACTTGGCTTTTTCACTACTTTGTGCCCGGTCTATCTCTATCGTCTTATTCTCAAATGATCTTCCCAGTATATTTTATTTATTTATTCTATCGAGATTGTTTCGCCGCCTCTTCCCCAACATATGTTCAGCTATGCAGTATTTCTTCTCTGTTTACAATTTTCTCATGTTGTAGAATCGTACTTGCATATACAACTGCAGGAAATGTTGTACATACAGTTCTTCATCATGATGATTAATCTCTTGAATGTTTCTTTCTACATATTTGAATTGAATGTCGAAGAGGTACTCATTAATTTGTAGCATATCTTAGTCAAGGAGTCCTTGCAGAGCTTATCCATCACGTCTCAAACCACAACAGACGACTTCCAAATTGAAAACTTTGAACGCTCTCCTTGGTCACCGAACTGTCTGATTCTTCCAGCGATGCCGTTTCCTCACAGCAATGGCTGCATAAATAGCATTAAACCCATTATACCCCATTAGGCTAGATGACCGTTGCCCCTACAAAAATGTTCATGCTCCCTTGGACATGTCTTGTATTTAGTCCTGCTTGATATTAAGCCAATCATCTTAACCAGAAAAGCCTAGTGGGAGAACCGATTTATTCTCCGATCATTCAACAGTGCGGCATCTAGTACTGGCTTACATGGTGCCAGTAGAATTGGCAGAGTGACCTGACCGTCAAGAAAATTTGAGGGTTTTTCAGTGTATTTTGTTTATTTTTTCCACAGTTACTTTCACTGCCACTTCCTTCACACATGATCAGCTATAGGTGATTTCTTCGCGGATTACATATTTGCTCATGTTCTAGGATCGTATTCACGGCCATGAAACAACTGCATGAGATGTTGTAGACGACGTTCTTAGTCGAGATATATTTGAAGATTTCATGTTAGCATCGTAGAAATTACTTTTAATTTAAAAAAAAAAGCATCAATATAATTATTTCTGCGACCTGTCCAAAAAGAGGCCGGTTTTGCATAGAGCGAGGAGTAGGAATCTTTACCTTGGCTTCGAAAACACACTTGAAAATCTCAGCTGTTTTCTGCTCAAAGCTTCCGCATTGTCTTTGCGGCCAAACGAGGTGAACTGCTTCGATAACGCAACTTTAGGTCGATATATCGATCAACACGTGTTGATAGTGGAACAACACTTAAATATCGATTTGGGGATTGAAGATGGAATTTTAAATGATTGATTATATCTTCTGCAGCAGCTTAAATATGTAATTGGAGTTGGGAGCGTCGGACACGGGTGGATCGATCCAAATTAATTCCATGTTAAGATTGATTTTTTTTTCTTTCCCTGTCCTAAAAAAATCTTCTAGAACAAAATAAAACGAGCGCTTAAAACACTCGAAAGCGATCGATATTCTGTAAATTTCATCATCAGGATCCGAATCAATTTAGGGGAAAATACGGAAAAATAAACCAAAAATCTAAATATTACAAAATAATTTCCGATTTGAAATAGCGAACGATCAGGATGTTGATTAAAATCTCAGTCTTTTGTCGAAGAAAAGAATGCGAGGAAAAAAAAATAACAAAGAAGAAAAAACAAAAAGCAAAAAAATTGAAAATCAATATATGTTGTTCTGCGATCAAAATCCATTAAAAAGACAAGGTTGAAATTATCGAATCATTTGCCCGTATTGTATGTTGAACATTTAGGGACAATATTGTTCGTTCGACTGTGGGATACTAATAGTACTATATTTGGAAATGGTTTAACTTGGGACAAGAACACTTGGAGATCACAATTGCGTCTAATGATCGCAAAATGAAATACGCTTTAATTTATTTATTTGTTCAAAGTCGATTAAATATCAGATCTGCGCTGAGACATCTTGTTCGCTGTAGATATTTTTTCTGCATCCCTGACATTACTCGCTAAAAATATGATGATAAACTTTACATATTCCCTATAACAATGAGACCAAGGATAAACTGTACATATTCCCTATAACAATGAGACCAAGGATAATCTTTACATATTACTTATAACAATGAGACCAATGATAAACTTTACATATTCCCTATAACAATGAGACCAAGGATAATCTTTACATATTCCCTATAACAATGAGACCAAGGATAATCTTTACATATTCCCTATAACAATGAGACCAATGAGACCAAGGATAATCTTTACATATTCCCTATAACAATGAGACCAAGGATAAACTTTACATATATTCCCTATAACAATGAGACCAAGGATAATCTTTACAAGGATAACCAATGATAAACTTTACATATTCCCTATAACAATGAGACCAAGGATAAGCTTTACATATTCCCTATAACAATGAGACCAAGGATAATCTTTACATATTCCCTATAACAATGAGACCAAGGATAATCCTTACATATTCCCTATAACAATGAGACCAATGATAAACTTTACACATTCCCTATAACAATGAGACCAAGGATAAACTTTACATATTCCCTATAACAATGAGACCAAGGCTTTTGAATCATCTATTTTTAATAAGAAATGATCACGAAATTGCTGATGGTCAAAAAATTACAGCAGAATCGGCACTGACTTGAAATTAAGATAGATACCGCAAATTATCAAATGAGACACCGGAACTGTCAAAATATTGGTAATATTTTTAATAAGAACTTCTGCATAAGGCCGCCCAACCTAAATGAAACGCTTATTTAAATAATTCTGTTTCCGTGTGACAGTATTAGTTAATGCTAACATCCACTGACGTATTAACTCTTTGAATATCGATTTTGAATTTATACGTAATTCCCTCGTCAATGACACGGTTTTATTCATATGATGTTTTAAATTAAATGATGGAACTCATTTTCCAATCAATGCATGTATTACTTGAAATTCCTTTTTAAATGGTGTCTACTACTTACTCCACAATAACTGGTGTACTTTTTAATGTGAATTTCGCTTTACGTTTTAGTGTTTGTATCTCGGTTTCGAATCTCGAGGTTCGACTAAGAATCATACATTTCTCGTTTATTTTTCAAGAGTCCAAAACATTTTTATTGATATGCTGTTTTAAATTGAATAACATTCTATATTTTTAAATCAACACAAGAGACGTCTTTTTAAAGTGGCTTTTGGCGAAGTCGAAGAACAGCGAAAGCATTTTTCAATGTCAACTGCCAATGACATTTAAAAGCTTTCAGTTTCTACGTTCGAAATCCAATGTTCGATTTGGAATCGTATATTTGAATTGCATTAATTTATTTTTTGAAAAGCACCAAGTCTATACAATCTGTCATATCTTGGAAATGAGTTTTAATCGACGACAACTAAAGATCATTCCGACCTCATAGCGTTTGCTGAAAGGCAGAAACGGTTGCAGAAATAATCTTTAATGTCGGCTGAAAATAAACATGGGAATAGAAGGGCTAAGGAATTTGGCCAAAATATTAATGGGGAACAACTAAAACAATGTATTAGGCCAGAAGAAAAAATTTACATTGTTTCCAGCAAAGCCAACTTGCAAGTCCGTAAAGAGACACTTCCATAAACAAAGAAATGAAAATTCATTTTATATCAGCCAAGAAGACAGTGAGATGACGCCGCCAGTTTTGGTGGTATTCTCTCATATAGAAGGTAATGAGGACATTGACGTAGGCTTATTATAGCATTTTGAAATTTTTGACTCTAAAGTAAAAAATATTTTGAATGTTATGGCAATCAAAGTCCCTTTAATTTGCCGCAAAGTTAGAAGATATTTTTATTTTGAAAAAATGTAAGCACTTCTGGGCCTCAGAAAAAGGGTCAAGATTTAAAATAAATTTAATCATTTAATTAAATGCCTGCCTGTAGATCGAACTATAACCTGTCTTAAAATCAATTAAAGATAAAAATTGACGAAGTCGTGGGAGCCCCAATCAGGATAAAAAATATTTCATTAACGAAAAGGCCTAAATAAATAGCTAAACATGTTAAATGTAAAAATGGTTTCCTGCATATTCGTTAGATAATCCTATGGTAACGGGAATTAGAATGGTGAGATTAGCCGTTTCCATAAAGAAAGATTTCCGTATTAATTGATCGTATTTAATTGATTAGCATTCCTCTTGGTTGAAATTTATAAAATATTTCCGGCAAAACAAATATCCTAGATCCATTAACTGATACCGCTCTTACTTTTCCTTTCTATCCCTTATGAAGGATCGGCAATGTAATCAATCCTAACCAGGTATCTCGACTTTAGACACATTCCCACCGACGTGATGTGGCTTTCCTCTGTCCTTTCTGCAAATATTTTCATGGCAACTGCTCTGACGAGCTTTTTGTTCCCTGGTGCATCGAATATATAAATTTCAGCGCCTTAGTAGATAGGCATCTAGGTCCCACCCTTTTACTGTTGAAATAGCTAAATGCAAC